CAGCCGGGGGCCGGCCCGGCTCCACGGGAGCCTGCGCCCGCAACCCGCGTTCAGCGGCTCTCGCGACAGGCCTCAGCTCTTGCCATGGGTGCCCATGCGACGTGGTGTCTGCTGCATCCCCACAGTGCTGCGTCGCTGCACACAGTGTCTGTGCACTGCAGATGTCCTCACAGGCTGCATTCTTGCAGCGTGGCACCCATGCAGCACAGCAGCGTCCTTGCAGCGTGGTGGCATCCATGCAGCGCTGCATCGCTGCCACCCGGCATCCTTGCAGCGCTGCATCCTCACAATGCTGCACCCTCGCCGTGCTGCGCCCTTGCAACACCCTGGCCCGGCAGTGCCGCATCCTCACGCTGGAGAGGGGCCAGGGCGCGCGCCTGAGTTGGGCACCATCCCCTGCAGGTCGGCAGGATGCAGGGAAGGGGCTCAGCGTAAGGAAAAAACAGATTTTAAGGATTTTTTTTCTTGAGTTTGGGTTTTTTTTTTTCACTAGCTGATCTTTCTGGGATCACTTTCCTGTGAGCTCCATCTGCCTTAGCTTTTTTTAGTTCCAAACAGAGGGAAGAGGAATTCAGGCAGAGCAGACTCACGAAGGATGTGATCTGCAGATTTTTCCTGAACAAAAGTGGGGAAACTTTGAATTAAACATGTTCCGCCTACAAAAAGCAGCAACCTCTGATGGAGGAGCAGCTCGGCCCTCGCCTGCGCCAGCCTGGGCCACGTCCGGACCGCGCAGGGAGCCGCGCGGCTCCTGCTCAGGCGCCGCCGTCGCTTCGTGCTCTTCTTCAGCCGTGCTCGCTAGCAGCCATCTACCTCCTCTGTAGGCGTCGTGACTGCATTTTTTAATTATAAATTTTATTCAGACTGTTCGTTCTCTCATTAAATATGCCAGGCAAAAGCAGTGACTTACACCCAACAGGCTGCTGCAGGAGCTAAATGCCGTGAGAAATCGCTCATGTGCCTGGAAACCAAGAGCTGGAAGCAGAGCCAGGCCCCGCGAGGGAGAGGGGCAGGGGTTGGGGACGGGGACGGGGGCAACGGGCAGCGCCGCACACAGGGCCGGGCTGGCTGCAGGGCTGCCCCGTTGCATGCAGCAGGGGTGCATGCAGCCTGGGTGCATATTGTGCATGCACGCAGCATGGGTGCATGCGGCATGGGTGCACATTGTGGATGCACATTGTGGGTGCATGCGGTTCAGGTGCATGCAGCATGGGGGCTTGCAGTGTGAGTGCATGCAGCACCCATGCAGCGCCGCAGTGCACAGACAAAGGGCATCGAGTAAAAACAGTTCAAAGAAAAGAAGGAAATGGCAAGGAAAGGGGGAAGATAAGCAAATGAATGTGAGATTTTAGTCAGCCTTTGACAACTAGTTCTGGCTACAGCCCCTCGCTGGCTTAGTAATTTCTGGTGAAAAAAAAAAAAAAAAAGGAGTGGGGAGAATGATGTGAAAAGATTGCTGCTGCATAAACCCAATTCTGAACATCTGTGCTGAATCAAAAGTTTCATCCTAAAATAGATGCAGAGACACCGAATGAAAAGGATTCTTCAACTTATGTGGAAGGGAGTTTGGGGGAGTTAACACGACTCCAATTTGCCCAACAAAACTCGCTACAGGGGAGGCCGGATCAGCTGCCGCCTCTCCCGGCTCTCGCCGCATCCCGTCCTCCTAACGCGGCCGCGGGTTCCTCGTTGCTCCAGCCCTGGCCGCTCCCTGCGCAGGAGCCGCCTGCAGTCGCGGTGCAAAGACCCTTGGCAGGAGGTGCTGGGCGCTTTGTGAGCTCGTTGCTGCGTCTGGGCATCTGCAGGAGGCCAGGAGGAGCCAGCAAAATGGGGGAATTTAGTGCAAAATGGGGGTGCGCTGGCAGCTCTGCATGGAGCAGCCGCCTTGCCGGGCTCCGGGCAGCCCACCGGGATCCTGCTCCCCTGGGGAAAACCCAGGACAGGCCCAAGAAATGAAAGGAGGAGAAACAGAAGGGCCACGGTCATTACCATGGGAATGGGGCTGGGGAACAGCGTGTCCTGCCCCACGGGCACCTTCCCGGGCCTGCTGCCAGCGGAGGGGACAGCGGCCCCACTGCTGCCACCGCCACTTTAGTGCTGGAGGAGGCGCCCGGGCTCTGTGGTGCAAATAAAGCCCTGCATGTGGCCTGGAGAGCTTGTTCTTGTGCTGTGCCCTCCTTCTCCCCTTCCCTTTTCCCCCAGGGGGAACGTGACGGTCCTGGCAGCGCTGCCCACATGGATCTCACAGCACAACGGGGTCCTTAACCGCTCACGCCTGTGTCTCACCGTGCGGAGGGGACACTCATCCCGAGGGGAACGCGGCCGGGGCAGGAGGCAACGTGTCGGCGTTGGCGTCGTGTCCCTCATGCCTGGTGGCCCCGCGGCGCAGTGACGCCCGGTGCGCGTGCCGGGCACGTTCGCAGCCGCGTGTGGCAATGCCATGGGCCCGGGCTGCCTCCCCGCAGCGCCACCCTGCTCCGCAGCGATGCCATTGGGGGCCCTGCACCGACGCTGGGGACACCTCGGGAAGCGACACGGCTCCTGCAGGATGACAGTCCCAGTAGGAAGGTTTTCGAGTGCTGCCGGGTTGGTCCGAGACTTTGCAGCTCCTCAGAACCTGGCCTGTTTCATCAGGGCTTTTCTCCTCACCACATCTTAGCATAAACTGTTGTTAACATCTTGACACCTGGACATGCGCCAGCATTGCTTTTTTTTTGTTCTGTTTTAGCACTATTCAATATGAAAAAATGAAGAGTTTAATACTTCAACTCAAAATACCGTATGGCAAATACGAAGGGTAACCACCACGGCGGTGCACAGCGGTGTGTGGGGGTGCCCGGCAGTGCCCAGCCCTGCATCGTGGTGCACGGCGGCGGCAGTGCTGGTGCACAGCAATGCATGCGGGTGCACAGCAGTGCATGCGGGTGTGCAGCAGTGCCTGGGGGTACCCAGCAGAGGTGCACGGCGCCGCACAGCACCGCACGGCAGTGCCAGCCAGACCACGCCACGGAGCACCAGCCCTTTGGCTGCCAGCAGCCGCATTCTGGGCTCCAGGATGGTTTATCCCGGCGCTCCGGCGCTGTTTGCAAACCCGCGTGCACAACACCTGCTCCGGCACGGCGGGCGAGGGCCGGCTCTGGTTGCCTGCTGCTTTGCAGAGGGAGGGGGGTCAAATGCAGACTTGCCCTTTCGGGCTGCTTTGCTGCGGCCACAGCAGCCCCCAGCCAGGCCACGCGCTTGGGAGCACCGGCTCCTTTAGCCAAGAGCGAGGGGGATGTTCCACATTTGCCCTGCAAAGCGCAGCCTCCCGACCTGTTCTGCCTTTGATTCAGTCCTTACAACGGTTTGTTTGTTGAAGGATAATGTCTTTGAAAGACGAACGCTCCGATACGGTCTCTCCTGCA